CGGCCGGCGATTTCGACGAAGGAGCGTCCGGAAGGACATGTGACGACTCCGGGCTGGACTCCGCTTCGTCCACGGTGAAAGTTGATCCGGCGATCGACAGCGCAAAGTTGATGTATTTCCTCAGCGACCAGCACGGATCAGCTCCAGGCATGACGAAGCAGATATTGTCCTCTTTTGGAAGACCAAACAGAGTAGTTTCGCTTTTACAACGAAGCACACAGCATGTTTATGACATGGTGACGGAAACAAAAAAAAAAATAAAAAAAATATCCCACCTTTAATAGTTGGACATATTTACAGTACAAACCTTGTCAGTGAACTGTGAGGGCAAAAAAAACAAAAGAATTGTTCATTAATCGTAATCGAGGTAAAAGGTCCAATTAATCAAGGTTTTGTTTTTAGGTCATATCGTCCAGCCCTACATTTATTAAAAAATATCTTTCTGGATCCTCAGCTGCTGCAGGAGCTGTGCACGGTGTTTAATGTGGACTTGCCTTGCCGTGTGAAATCGTCTCAGCTTGGCATCATCAGCAATAAACAGAGCAGCACCAGCGCCATAGTGAAGCCCCAACCCAGCTCCTGTTCCTACATCTGCCAGCACTGTCTTGTCCATCTTGGAGACGTTGGTGAGCTCACTCAGGACATAATGCTTTTTTGCAACTAGTTTCTGGAGAACACCAGCAAACTGCTTTGCTGCTTTTATGAATATGAAATATTTAGAGGCATAGAAATTGGAATGAATGCTATGCATCGGAGGATTTAATTGGTTGTGGTTTATTTTATGCAATCCACAGCACGTTATCGGAACCAAACCAGCCAGGCTGAGTCGTACTACAGACATGCAGCTCAACTTGTTCCCTCAAATGGTTGGTTTGTTTTCACATTCTCAAGCCCACCACTGACATTTGAATATATAAAACGAATGAATTAAAAATGATGTTTTCCCCCTCTGCTCTCAGGTCAACCTTACAATCAACTGGCCATCCTGGCTTCCTCTAAAGGAGACCACCTCACAACAATCTTCTACTACTGCAGGAGCATTGCTGTCAAATTCCCCTTTCCTGCTGCCTCCACCAACCTACAGAAAGCTCTTTCCAAGGCCCTTGAAAGGTCAGAATATTTACATTTATTGGATCATACATTTTTGCTCACATTATCATATGTAAATATGAAACTAGTGCTTAATTCTCCTGTGTCTATTTAATCCACAGCCGTGATGAGGTTAAAACAAAATGGAGCGTGTCTGATTTTATTAAGGCCTTCATCAAGTTCCACGGCCATGTTTATCTCTGCAAAAGCCTGGATAAGTTGAACACCCTGAGAGAGAAACTAGAAGAGCAGTTCCAGGTAAGGCCAAAACCACCAGCTGTAGCACTTCATGTCATTTTTCCCCATTAACTTAAGGTGGCAGTTATTTGACAGATTTCTGTCTCATTAGTCTTTCTTAGTTTGAATTTGCATGCTCATTAATCTCCCTACTAATTTGCTTCACAGAGGCTGATTTTGCAGAAAGCCTTCAGCTCCCAGCAGCTGGTCCACATCACAGTGATAAACCTGTTTGAACTGCACCACCTCCGAGACTTGAGCAATGAGGCAGATGAGCACAGCTACAGCTCGGATGAGCAGATCAGCTGGATCCAGCTCCTCGGCCTCTTCAGTATGTCTTTTCTTTTCACACTGCTCTTAAGCCGTGTCTTATGGTCTTTTTAAATTCTGGGTTAAGCACATAACCACTTGTAATTTTTAAAAGATACTCGCTACCATTCAAAAGTTTAGGGGGGGTATTTTTTAACAAGGTTCTATTTATTTGATCAAAAATACAGTAAAGGCCCTGATATACTTCAAGCGAAATCGAAGAACGAACTGATGTGATGTCATTTTGAACAAAATCCGGCCTAAACAAAGTTTTTTTGTGTTTGTTTTGTTTTGGGAGTTCGAAACGGCTTGCCAAAGCGAACTTTCCGGAAAAGTTTGTTCTTGCTGGAAAACACCTTCGTACTACCATTGGTCCGTGGCGATTACGTCATAGGTGGTGTGCGCTGAGGCTCCGCCTTCTTTCATGTGGAACTCTTCTCTGGGTTCATTTCGTCTTTCTTGACTTAACTTTTTCTGTAACTTTCGTTTTAATTTTTTCCCTTTCCTTTTTTGCTTTGTGTTTCGTTTTCTTCTTTTTTTGTGTGTGTGAGCAAAAACGTAATTTTTACTTTTGGAATCAACAGGTTGATCCAGTGTCGCATAAGTGATGGCCTTCTGCTCTTCATCACTGATATCCCTGAGATGGTAGTGGAAGAGCCACAGGAAAAAGACACACCTGTCCTCCAGGAGTCATCTAACGGTGAGCAGACCCCGAACGACAGCACCCAGGGCCTGAAGTCGGTCCTCTCGGCCGGAAAGAATCAGAACAGTGTGCTGGATGGCAGTGAGAGACCTGTGGTCACTGCTGGAAAACACCTTCGTACTACCATTGGTCCGTGGCGATTACGTCATAGGTGGTGTGCGCTGAGGCTCCGCCTTCTTTCATGTGGAACTCTTCTCTGGGTTCATTTCGTCTTTCGAGTCCACATATTTACATATTCATATAAATGTTGCTTTCATCAGAGTGGGCAGCGTTGGGATAGTTCGATAACAGTATACCGCTGATCACGTAAGAACAAAAAATAACTTCGGTTTTAGTATATCGTGGCCTTAAAAAGTGTGGTAATATTGTGAATATTATTACAATTTAAAATACATGTTTTCTATTTTTATATATTTTAAAATATTATCCTGTGATGGCAAAGCTGAATTTTCAGCAGTTGTTACTCCATTCTTCAGGGTCACTTGATCCTTCAGAAATCATTCTAATATTCTCAAGAAACATTTCTTATTATTATCAGTGTCGGAAACAGTTGTGCCGCTTTTTGTGAAAACCGTGATACAATTTTTTTCAGCGTTCTGTGATAAAGTTCAAAACACCAGCATTTGTTTTAAATGTAAACCTTTTGTAATGTAATAAATGCCATTACTTTGACTTTTGAATGCATCCATTTAATTCATCCTTGATGAATAAAAGTAATCATTAAAAAAAAACAAAAAAAAACGTATTAACCCCAGATATTTCAACGCTAGTGTAATACCACTTTTAGCTATACACGTTTTTGGTTGTTTTGCTGGTTAATTGACCTAATAAATATAGAAATATAGTGTGAAATCTTCAAACCTGACTACCCATGATTAATTATTACCCTGAGTAAAGTGTAAAATAACCCAAAATTACATTTACTTGGGTTTTAGAATGACCTGGCTTGACCATTTTAAACTGCAGTCTTAATACTGTTTTGAGACTATCGAAGAAAATCAAAATTATAATGTCATTTTGTAAAATTTATAAAATGTGGGGATAGATCCTGCAAATAAAACATGTAGCTCTAGTTTGTGCAATGCTATAATGTAAATGTCTTTCCCTAGTGTCTTTCCTGGGTGTGATGCTAAGCCGAGCTTTACTCAATAAGAACCGAGAGGAGATCATGGGGGAGTGCCCTCTTCCTGCCATCAAAGTGTCTCTGGACTGGCTGCGGCTTCGACCCAGTGTGTTTAATGAAAGTGCCATGGACAAGCGACAGTAGTAAGAAAAACTTTTTTTTTTCCTTTCACCATAGTACTGAACACTTTGAATATGTAGGTTTCATTTCAGTTTCAAAACCGAAGCTAGTTGATTTAGCATTTTAATGTGTTTGTATTTGATGGGGAACTTGTGGTAGTTTCTAAATAGCCTGAGCCGCTTTAATCCACAATTTGCATTATCCCAGCAACAATACCCACAATCCATTGCACGGCATGTCTGTTTTTGACTTTTAAAATGATTCTGCTTGAGCCAAGACTTTGAGGTATTGAATACTGTTAAGATGACACATCTTTGGCATCTCACAGCATCTGGCCATGGCTGGTGTCCATTCTGAACAGCTTTCAGCCTAAGGAGGAGGATGTGTCAAATGTATCAGGTAGTGAGCACTGCATCACGCTTGTATTTGCTCATGAAATATCTTTGCTTATGAACGTTTCTTTTCTTTTTGTTAATAGTCATGATTGTTTGTTTCACAGTGATTCCACTTCCCGAGGAGTTTGAACTGCAAGGCTTTCTGGCCCTTCGGCCTGCTCTGCGGTAATTCTTCATGATTAATTGATTGCTGTTCTTGTTTTAACTCTTCATTTCACACACATGACTATTTTAGCTGTATTTGTTCTTTTAAGGCTGTTATTCAGTGATTTCAGAATGCTGGACTTCTCTAAAGGGCATCAGGGTATCGTGGTTGGCAAAGAGAGCCTGTTAATTCATGCCCGACACCAGAAACTCATCAGCCTGGGCAAGTGGGTGGCTGACAACCAACCACGGTGAGCCGTTGTTTCATTTTCATTTCATTATTTCTCGGACTTTCTTGGACTTTTCTGAAGTCCTGTCACCTTAATTATTCCTCCTAGCTTTAAAAAATAAATCATTTTATCATTTTTCTACTTAATAGTTTATTTCTTTTTCCTTTTGTTTCCCTTTGCTTTGCTTTTTTCTTTCCTTTTTTCTTTTATTTTCTTATATATATATATACCGAGCAGAAGAAAGAGGGCAAGAGAAAGAGCGAGGTGAAGAAAAACAGTCATGATAAAACAACGGATGCTGGGAAACAGGTGAGAGAGAGAGACTTGCACAGGAAACGGTCTCATTTTGTTTTTCAAATGTGTAAACTCCTCCTGATCTCCTCTTTGATTTGCTGCAAGGTGAAGACTCAGACTGAGATGAGGAAGACTCCAGTGTCTGAGGCGAGGAAGACTCCAGTCACACAGACTCAAACAACATGCTCTTCACAGTTTATCCCCATCCATCACCCAGGAGCTTTCCCCCCTCTGCCCAGCAGACCAGGTACCCTCAGACACTTTCCTACATGCCACACCTGAACATTATCAACACATGGGCTGTTCAGTCAGTGCTCACTTCCTTTTTTTCTTTCTTCTTCAGGTTTCCCCCCACCGGCATATGTGATCCCTCCTCCCGTGGCATTCTCCATGAGCCCGGGTTTTACCTTCCCAACAGGTGTATCCATACCTGCACCCTTCCTCCAGACTGCTTCCCACCCTCAATCTGCCAATCCGGTGCAGACAGGGAAACCCTCACACATTCCCTACAGCCAGCAGAGACCCTCGGGTCCTGGAGCCCTAAACCAAGGCCCTCCACAGTCTCAGCAGACACAGCCTCCCCCTCCACAGCCATCCCAACAGGCCTTGCAACAATCTGTACAGCTTCAAGTTCAACAACAGCAACAGCAGCAGTCGCCCACCAAGCAGAGCTCCCAGCTTGGAAAAAGTCCTCCACATCATCACAGCATGCAACAGGTAATGTGACGCTTTTGTTTGGCTTATTATGCCCATTTCATTGGCTCTTGTGGTGCTGAGGTTCAATATCTGCTCTTCTGTTTCTATGACAAGTCCGATTACCATGGCGACTACTTAGAAACATGTATGTTGCTGACCTTGTTGGGTAATCTCTCTATTTTCTCTATTTTTATTTTGTCTTTGTAGTCTTACATGCAGGTGCCTGAACAGCCTGGTCAAATGTGGAACCAGCACCAAACTCAGCCCACCATGCAGAAAATGCCCATGCAGATGCCAGTCAAACAGCCTTTCTTCATGCCCACCCAGGACCCAATGAAACTCTTTGAACACCCCATGAGCATGCAGCCTCCTCAGCCCAGCATGGACAAGAAGATGAAGTTTCCGGAGGTCAAAATGCAGGATTTCTACTGGGAGCCTTCTTACCACATGGGAGGAGAGGGCAGGAGCGGAATGGGGGACAGAATGGGCAAACGTCAGCCTGGAGTCTTCTGCCCTGACCAGGAGAACATGCCCAGAGGCCCTCCATACGAAGTTAGCATTCTTTGTCTTCTCTGTTTAGACAGTTGTAGTTAACTTTCAGATGAAGAAATGAGTGTCGGGCTTAACATAATATGATAATAGCATACTATCCTATTACTCTATATTTACTATGCATACTGTGCGTAGAAAATGTGAAATGACAATAGAATTTTTAAAAATAAATATTTAAGTTAATATATAATATTTAATTAATTTATTTATTTACATAAATTACCAAAAGTATAGGGTCGGTAAGATTCTTTTTTTTTTAATGTTTTTGAAAGAAGTCCCTCATGCTTTCCAAGGCTGCAGTTATTTGATCAATACAAAAACAATCATATTGTGAAAACGCAAGTAGTGACAGATAATTTCTTCTGTGTTGTGACGCACATCTGAGTGTAACGAATCATCGGAAAGGAAAAAAATGGGGACATGGTTCTTCGGACCGGCTGTGAATTGTATTTCGAGATGTGGCCGTTGCACTCAAAAATGGTGCAAAATGATCATGCAAGGGCAGGGTTTAAGCAGACTAAATGATTTAAGTCCTGTATACATCACCAGAGAGAAGTCAGTCATTTTTCCCCGGAAGGTCCAGACATTTTGATTTAACGTTATTGTCACACATTTAGGAAGTAGACAGGTTGAATTTCCATTTGTTGAACTTCCAACCTTGTAAGCATGTAATAATTATGACAACATAAAGCACTGACAAATGAGCCTGGTGTAAACATTAATATGAAAGTCAGTAACAAATCACACAAACTAAAGTAGATTGCAGAAATATAAAAACAAATCTGTTGCTTTACCACACTACTTTAGGTAATTCAAAGTCACTGTACAGGGCTCTACAGTGTGACCATTTCAGTCGCATTTGCGACTGGAAACTACTGCGTGCGACTATGAAAAAATATTTAGGAGCACCTGTGCGACTGACCCGATCAGCATTTATGTTTGCGATGAGGGAGCTTCAAAGGTTTCTAACGTACTTACAACGTGTTTTTGCAGCGTTGAGTAATGTATCACAGACTTATATCCTCTCATTATAACAAACAAAGTGTAGACCGAGTGTAAATAAGAGATTCATTGTGCAGTGTAAGGAGCTTAGGCTGCGTTTACACTGTAAGTCTTAATGCACAGATCCGATCTTTTGACCATATCCGATTTTTTGGCACGTCTGTTTACATTCACTTTAGACACGACTGGTATCCGATATCTGTGTTTACATGAATTCCCACCCAAAAGGATTGTCTGCAGTGATCGCTTTACGAATTTTTTAGTGAAATAAAGATGATATTTATTGAAATGAATTCGAATTGAGAGAGAGAGAGAACGAACAAACGAACGCATGCATGCACCCACGTACGAGCGAGCGATTGTGAAGCATTGCAAACAAAAGTTAATATTAAGTGACTTGTATTGTCTGACTACAACACTATTGCCTTATTTTGCTCTATTTCGTCAACGAAAATAGTTTAAGACATTAACAGCTGAGCCACTGCGCATCTCCATTTAAACACAGCGTTTCGTTTATGAATGAACTGCGTTTTTAAACGAATCTAGTGAGTCAATGATTCAATTACCCATTCATAAAGACAGTCACATGCTTCGTTCCTGAATGAATCAGCCGTTCGAACGAATCAATTAAATGAATGATTCAGTGATAAAATCTGTATATTTTCTGTTATTTAAATCATTTAATATTTCTATATTCATAAAACATCAACATCAACCTCAACATGAATTTATGAATTTAATTGCACTCATGCGACCTCTGAGCCTCATTAAACATCTGAAAATACACATACAAGCCACTTGTGTGTTCTTCTGTGCCATCTCTCTAGTACAAATTTATTTCTTAAATACTGATTTCATTTGATTGGTAACTTATTCTACTTCTACTTGTTTTTATTCAGTTGTTTTGATTAGAAATGTTAAAAAGCTTATAAATATATATTTTTGAATTTGACATAAAAGATGACATGCTTTTAATAAAGTTAGATAAATGCCATTACAAAAGTAAAAACAAAATTCCCTGTAAATCACTTTAAGGAGTCAAATATCACCTCGTAATGGGAAGGTTAATTTTTTATCAGAATTTTTTTGATTATTGATTAGAAGGTGCTCCTACATTTTTGACCGTGCTGCTACATTTTTTAAATTAGGAGCACAAGCTCTCCTAAAAAGAGAAGTAAGCATAGAGCCCTGCTGTAATAAACATATACAAACATGTGGACTGCACTTTTTAAAGTCTGTTAACTTTAGACCAGTGGTTCTCAAACTTTTTTGGTCGCGCCAAATAATTTTGTTTATTAGTTTATTTCTAAACATTAAGTCAAAAGTTAAGTCAAAGATTATTTCTAAACATTACGAAAAATTTATGCTTTTTTAATTTAAAAAACCTACAGGGAAAAAAACACCTGCATCACTTGAAACATTGCATATAGAGCATAACTATGAGCACATGAAAATAGCATATAGAGAATAACTTATTATTATTATTATTATTTTCTGTTATTTATTTATTCCTTCCTTCCTTTATTTATTTATTTTTTGTGGGTTTCATGCTGTCCGCTAAGGCATAGGACACACACAGGCTTTCCTCCTCACCAACGACATTAAACACCGTGTCTACACCGGACGCGAGCGGCAAAATACAGTAGAACCCATTATAATCAGTGACGCTGTGTACACTGGATGCGACACGACAAAACCCGACATTAAACTGATGCCTTGTTCTATTTATGACGTACTGACACAAAGTTAAAATGATTTGCAATGGTCGCTTTGTCGCGTCCAGTGTAGAGCTGTTGTGGCGTGACGCGACAACTGTAGCGTCTGGTATAGACACGGTGAGTGAAGCCGAGAGCAAGATATGCCTCGTCATAGTTTCTGCATTTAGCTTTTGAATGACCAGCACCTGCCTGGGTCTGTGCGACTTCATCTATGGCTTTTCTCTTCCCTTTCACAAACCGATCCATCTCCCATTCTAAGTTACGTCCTTTGGCTGTTTACAGTTTTATTTATTTTCTTTTTCTGGCCCCACACTTTGAGAACCACTGCCTTAGACAGACTATAAATAAGAATATATATATATTACCTTATTATATATTATCTTAAGGTTGAAGTCTTCAGTAATGAAATGCACCGTAACACTGTTACTGCTTGAGTAATTTCAATGTGCCGTTTTGAAGTACATTCATTATATAGGCATACGCTTTCAAACATTTCCGCTAGCGTGCCAGGGTTGCCAGGTTTTCACAACAAAACCCGCCCAAATTGCTACTCAAAACTAGCCCAATCGCGTTTCGAGGGGGGTCCACCGGTATAAATTGCGTTCCAGGGGGTAAAGTACAGGTTCTTTTGGAGGGGTTCCCCAAACCGCGGACTTGGCAACACTGTACTGAGTTTTTTTTTTACAAAATGAGATTTAAGACAAATTATAAATTAAATGTGTCCTTTTATTATTGCTTGGACAAAATTCTGCACGTTTCTTTGTGAAACTGAATAATATACTAATATAGCACTTGCATATTATTGCTCTTTTGCTGGTTTTGTCCTCATTTGTAAGTAGGGATGTAACGGTATGAAAATTTCATATCACGTTTATAGTGACCAACGTTATCACGATTATCAATATTATCACGGTTTTGTTCAAATTAGATGAAAACATTCAAAAAGAACTGATGCACACTGAAAACATTTCAATAAGTTTTATATTTGAAAATCAACAAACAACAAATACAATTAGCAGCTATATGCACTTTTTTTTAGCATAAACATTAAATTAACATTAACATGAAGCCCTGATAATAATAATAATAATAAATCACATATATATATATATATATATATACATATACATACACACACACAAAATATATATATACAATGTGATTTCCGTTTGTGATCATGTGATCTTCGGTTAGGAGATCTTGTGATGCTTTTTAAAGCAAAGTTGGGGTTGATTTCGAGTTCACATACAAACATATACATTCATATAAACTCCTACCCCTAATTGAATCACGATTTGTTGAGCATCTCAACCGATTTGAATCGTCATATAATTAAATCGATTTTCAACCGGCTCGCGGTTAATCGTTACATCCCTAATCTCAAGTCGAACACACCTCTTTACTCTCATGTGTCACATGACCGAGTGTAATCGCAGCCTCTGCGATTGAAAAATCGCATTTTTTTCATATCGCGATATTATCGCAAATGCAATTAATCGTTCAGCCCTACTGCCAAGTGTTAATTTTAAACAAATTTGGATTTTAAATATTTTTATTTCCAAATTAATAACTTTCATCATTCATGAATTTAAAACAGACAACATGAGGTCAAGCATGCAATATAGTTCATAAATGTTTTAAATGTTCATTGTTTCATAATGTGTTCACGTTATTTATTAATAGTGTACTGCTTGGCACAGTGTTCCCCAAGTAGTAAGCAAGCATTCCTTTCCGAACACAGCCTCAGTCCTTATTCTCAGTTAATTCCTTCCACTTGCCTTTGGTTTCTACAGGCTTAGCATCTGTACAGTATCTGTTATGACTCTATGATTATCATGGGTTTCCGGAATTAGCTGGGGATCATTTACAGCCACACTGGGTTTTATTGAAACTTGATCTCAGCGGTAGTTGAGATGCGCATGCTTTCTAATTTTTCATCTCTTCTTTCACGTTTCCACCTCTAGCTGTCTAACTGCCGTTAAGTATTCTGAGATGCATTTATGTGTTGTTTGAAAGACTAGTTTACTTTTGAGTAAGTCAAACAGCTTTATCACAGTCCTTGAACAGAAGTCAGGTTGAGAATCGCACTAATCTTCACAGGCTGCTGTTTTTCTCTCAGCTATGACAGGCCGCTTCCTTTTTTCTTACATCCTGTTTCTCTCATCCCTTTTCCTCCCTCCCTCCCTTTGTCTCTCCTTCCTTCCCTTTCGTGCCTCGTCACTCACTAGGACAACAAGAGCTCCCCTCTTCTGCCCCCAGACCTGTTAAAGACTCTGGCGGACTTTGAGGAGGAGGAGGAGCTGCTCTTTACTAAACCTCATGATTTCTACCAGGCCTTGGCTGGCCCTCTTAATTCTGCTCCTGGAAGGAACATGTTTGTATGTAGTTCTCCTCCTATCATGTTGTCAGGTGGGAGTGGATATTGAATTTTCATATAGGCTTCTGTGGATAAAAAAAAAAAATCTGGTTCCTGTGTCCAATAGCAGTTAAAAGTTTGGACATACCTACTCAGTTATTATTACCTTTTTCCACATATTAGAATACACATATAATAAAAGTAATTGAAACTAAGGAATAATAAATGTATGGGACACATGTAACGTCATGAGGCACATCCTGGTATACTTTTTAAACCATATTGAAGGTTATATATTTAAATTAATTTAACATATTTACATATATTAAATTTGATTAACATATTGTTCATATTTAAATTAATATCTTGGTATAATTTATTTTTGTTTTAAAAATAAAATAATTTAATAAGATGCTGAAGAAAAAAACATTTGTTATAAATAATGTTTGGCTTTCTGGAAATATAGTTTTTCCTACTACTGTGGTCTGTTAGAAATGATTGATCTGTTGGAACTATTGCAGAGTTCTCATCTTTTTTGCTTCTCTCCCTCTGTAGTTGCCAAATCAGTCACGACTAGACAGTGGAGCTGATGTGATTGGTCAATCCTCTCTTCTCCCCCGATTTTCCATTCAGGTAGCCTAAAGCTGGTTTGCTCTTTCTCAAACTATCACTTTAGTCCTCGCTTGCATTTTGAATCAAAAGTCACCAGGTGGCAGTGTTTTCATTCAAACATAACCAGTTTTTGTGTTTGCTGGGCTGGGTGTTGCTATATTCTTACTTTCCAAACATGCTTTGACTGGTAATGAAATTAAAAATCTTTTTTTGTCAGAACTGACTGGTAAACATTTCCCGATACCATTCTCCCCTTTTTCTGACCTCTCTCCAGTATATCTATCAAAACTAGTAGCAAAAAGGCCAATAAAATATAGAAGTTGTAAAAAAGCCAAAATATTGATTAAATTGCTTTTGTTGTTGTTTACAGGAGAGCTCCTACCAGAACAACAGCATTTTTAGCGAGGCCTATGGTAAAAATATGGCTCCTGCATCTAAGCCAGACATACCCATGATGCACCACGAGCCTTCACTCTACTCCCTGTTTGAAGGAACTCCATGGTCCCCCTCCCTTCCTGCTAGCTCAGGTACCATATTGTGGTTTTGATTTACTGTAGTATGTGATCAGTTATAGAAATTATATAATGATGGTTAATTTTGTTCATTGCTGTTATTTTAGATTGTACAGGTGAACTTGCAGCATCAGTTTGTTAATGATCTGTTCCTATCTTTTGTTGTTATAGATCATTCTACACCAGCCAGTCAGTCCCCTCACTCTTCCAACCCAAGCAGCCTGCCTTCATCCCCACCCACCCACAGCCATGGCTCCCTACTCTTTTCCAACTTCGGCCCCATTGGGACGCCTGACAGCAGAGACCGCCGTGGTACCGATCGCTGGAAGGCTGATAAGACTGGTAATGCTGGTTATTCCCATGCAGAGAGCATGCTCTATTGGTTTATGTGTCTCTTCTGTTGGTCAATGTTATTATTAACATTAGCCGATCAGTTTTTCTGAAGTGTCAGACTGCACTGTTGGTTATGGTGTTTACTTTCTTTATATTCAAATTTCTTTATCAAATTTCTTTTAAAAATACTACAACAGGATTATAGAATCAAGAAGTTGCTAAAGTAGAAGTCTGTTCATTTTGCAGATTTTATCAAGTTCAAATTGCCCCCCCACTTTGTTTTTTATTTTTATTTTAAATGATTTTAATGTTTTAGTAAATGTTATGTAGAATGAATATAAATTTAATTGCAGTAATCGTTATGCTTGTATTATTTACATTCTTAAAATGAAATAGTCTGAGCGGCCACAAGTAGTAGTTAATAAACTGTTAGTGAAAGTGAAAGTGACGTGACATGTGGCCAAGTATGGTGACCATTTATCCCATCCATCTCTGCATTTATCCCATCCAAAGTGCACACACACAGCAGTGAACACACACACACTGTGAACACACACCCGGAGCAGTGGGCAGCCATTTTTTGCTGCGGCACCCGGGGAGCAGTTGGGGGTTCGGTGCCTTGCTCAAGGGCACCTCAGTCGTGGTATTGAAGGTGGGAGAGAGCGCTGTACATTCACTCCCCCCCACCTACAATCCCTGCCGGTATGAGACTCGAACCCGCAACCTTTGGGTTACGAGTCCGACTCTCTAACCATTAGGCCACGACTTCCCATCATTAATCATATTTGTTAATGTAAATGGTTGGTGTGACTGTCTTCAGGTGTGAGCGGCTTTGGGTTGGACTACCTGCCTTCTGCCTCGTCCTCCTCTGTGCCAGATACCAACAGCTGGCACCAGGGGGCGCCAACCAGCAGCTGGGCAGCCCAGGACATGCCAATGGAGGACTCCTCGACTGTCCTCCTTGACAGTTTCAAGGTAGCATGGAATGTTCTGTCTAACATTTAGTGTGTACTATTTTCTACACATTCACAGACCAACAACAGAGTTGTTGTTCTAACCGCAGATGTGCAACGACATGTATTTTGTTTTACTTTAGTCTTAATTTCCCTCCATATTCCCTTTCTTCTACCCCTCTTTCTGTAGTCAATCTGGTCGAGCTCCATGATGCAGCCCGGTCCGTCTGCTCTGGAGCAGCTCCTGATGCAGCAGAAACAGAAGCAGCAGCGTGGCCATGGCAACATGAACCCGCCACACTGAGAGTCCACGGGAAGACGCACTTGTGTGAAACATGATTCAACAGAAGAGGTGAAACACCACAAGCTCCAATCGGAAATTTCCGGCATTACATGCGCGCGGAGGCTGGAGACGGCGAACGATGTGACGCGGCAGGCTCAAAACGAACCGCTCGCCTGACCGACGATGGACGTGCAGCCCTCTCCTCTCCTCTATCTCTCTCACTCACTCTGTCTGTCTCTCTCCCTGTGAGGGCGTGCAAGCACCTGACCTGTCACGCTGCTCCGCACGTAGCCGCTGCAGAACACTGACTCTGAGGGGGAAAAACTCTCTCTGATTGCCACCTCTCTTCCTCTGGGGGTCAAAGGTCATTCTCCTGTCTCATCTGGACTTAAGACTCTGGACTAGACACCCTCATGCCACCTGCTTAAATCGCTCTGTGTGACCGGCACGCCGCACGTTAAGGAGTTGGGTGTGTGCGTATCAGAAAGGGATGTTTATTGACTGCAGACGTGGTATTACGAGGGACAAAAAAAGAAAGAAGGACTGGCTTTGTGTTTTATTCTAAGTCTGGATTCATTTTCTCAGAGGGATTCGTGTCGCTGTGTTTAGAATAAAAAAAAAAAAGAATGAATGAAGGATGATGCGAACGGCGTGAAAGTGCGCTTCTAGAGAATGTGCTCGGATATTAGATTGACACAGGCATGGATCATGGTGTTGTCATGTACAGTCTGTTGATTTGTAAGAAGAGTTTGCAGAATGGGACAGGGAACGTCTCTAAAGTTCGAACCATTATGAAGCTCATAGCGACATTATAGCTCGATCAGTATCAAGCGGAGTTGGGGGTTAGACTATAGATGTAGGATGTAGTTATCATTAGCTGCAATAGAGACTGCAATTATTAACAATACTGTATTTTGTGACTTGTTCTGTAGCAGTTTTAGCTCTCTGAAATATTATTCAGTAAATATGTTCAATAGTTTACTGCTAACGGGGGAGTTCATTCGCTATAAATGTGTGCCTCCCCTTCTCTCTCCTCATTTCTTTATTCTCTAGCTTAAACGCATAACGGCTTCTTTTGTTCTTGTTCTGCCTTTTTATTAATAGTTTTAAGCTTTATCAGCTCTCTTTGTGCCTGGTCTGTGTTTTCTCTCTTCCTTTTGTTGTTCTTTCTCTGTTTTTGTTTTAAGGAATCGTTAGCATCGCAATCACAGTTGGCACTGTAGGGATGAGGCGAACAGGTCTAGCTGTGACGCTGTTAGCTCGGCAGAAAGGGATGTGAACCGGGGAAGCCCATTTTCCCACAGCAACCTCACAGCCACTGAATTGTTCTCATTTCAGGTACCATCTCCACAGCCACTGTACTTGGTTTAAAAACCACAGAACATACCTCCGAAAGGACGCTTCAGCTCCCGTTACGCTTAGCACTAAAAAGTCGTCTCTGAGGAAGAGCGTCAAGCCCGATCACTGCTTCATTCTGAAATCTTGTAACGTATATCATCGGTTGCCTCAGGTTAGCGTCATGTGGCCATGTTTCTCAAGCTAGAAAAGGGACACGTCACCATAGACGCCCTGTTTGCAGCCTGTTTGGTTTTTTCTTCTAAGTAAAAAGCAATTATTGTTTTGAAAACGTAACTGTTCTCTTTTCAGTAGAGGATATAGCACTGAGTAGGCCTTCGAGACCTTGTGTGGGTGCCACTGTTTGGTAGAGATGTTCTGGGGCCAGGGGTTTGTGTTGGATAAGCTGAAATATCTATAAAGCATTCACAGTGGTTATTTCTTTTTGGTTAAGTAAGATGTTTCTGTTTGGCGAAGGTTATATGAAAGACGTACTCTCTTGTATGATGAGAATAAAGCTTGTTTTTATTTTTGAGTAGAGAACATTTTATTAAAGACGAACTTTAAATGATGTGTCTATTTGCCATGTGATTGTGCTTCTCTTGTTGCATTTAAAATTGTATTCAAAAATAGAGGAATAAATGATTAAATGGAACCTTAAAAGTTGAGTTAGGTCAAAGTATCATTTGCAGAAGAAAAAAAATCTATGAGCAAAGTTTCAGTGGGAGCTGTGCGCCCCATTTTGTTCATCTTTTGTTTTCCTATTAGAATCGTTCAGCAAGGAGTTTCAGAAGCCTGTGCTCTGATTGGTTGCTGTGGACGCCTAACATTCTTTTATTTTGGATGGACTTGTGGTGCACAGTCTTGTGTTTTTTCGATACCCTGTATCTCATTGCATTGTAAATGTGGATTTTTCCCTGTTGTCCAGTATCCATTTTTTAAAACTGGCTTCTGTAGTGATGTACATTACAATGCTGATCACAGGACAACAGCCTTGCGCCTCTGGGCCGTAATATAACATTCCAATAGTAAAGCTAAAAGAAAATACAATAGCCAGCTTTTTACATTAAAATCATCACTAAGACAGTTTGTCCCAACCCTAAATTCAGTCTGTCACTGATTCTGCATGAAATCCATCTTTCAGAATGCCTTGTATTTTGAATGAGGGAGATATCCAGTCAAGTCTTTTTGTTTGTTTGTTTGTTTGTTTGTTTTTTAGAGGATTCTGTCAGGGAATAGTTGGGGGTGAGGATATCTCCTTCTATAATGGGCTTGATTTATTGTGTTCTTGTCTCTTTGTGGACACTTGTAAACTCTGGAATCAGTTATGCCTTTAATAAAATAAACCATGTCCTCATACGCAGACTTGAGTCTTTTCTGTACCTCACACTTTCTCATTCTACCTTGAAGTTCCTCATGATGTGAATCACAGACACGTGCATGTCAGGGACACTGATGACTGTTACCGCGTTACCGCAACACGACTAAAAGCTGCATGCATTTAAACAGCTGGTATTACGCCTTGACCCAATATCCTTTATTGTAGCCATTCAAAATGTTCAGTACTATTATGAAATATGCTTTGATCGTTGCTTCATTTCTGAACTCTGTAAGAAAATCTCTGGTCAGTGCACATTAGTTTTTATGGTGCATTCTGGAAATTTCTACAGGGCAAATCTCAAATGCAACAGCCATATATGTGCTTCACTGCACACATTAATACTTACAGATAGCGTATTGGAACCTGATAACCTGCTGTATTTAAAGTGTTTGATTTTTATAGCTTATGAATATTTAATCGTCCTATACATCTCCATAGGAGACTATTTTTTTTATTTGTAACTTTCTTTTTTTTTTAAACATGGAAATAGCAGTTTCAAAATCATTCTGATGTCTTATAGTAAGGCGAATGGCTTCTGTTTCTTTCCCACACTCCCACCCAAATGTCTGTTCTGGGAGTTTAGTGAGCGGGTACGAAATTTCATTTCCGTGCTTTACTACAGCAACAAATCCACAGTAATTACAACTGATATATTTACGAAGTGAATTCCACTAACTTAACTGTAGGGGGCTGTAAAGTCGAAAAATGCACAAAACTACATACAGTTGATTTAATACATTAGTTATCATGAGTTAACAATCACCAACAATTTTTACAGTGTTAATTTTGGTTAAAGTTTATAAATGTTTTGGTTAAATTTATAAACGTATTCTTTATTTTTATTTTCTTTTTTCATAATAGATAGATAATGCTGATTTATACAACTTGAAATGTGTGTGGAAATTAACAATCTATATTGACAAATGCTGTTGAAATATTTATTGTTTGACAACTAATTAACTCATTAATTAACTAATTAACATTTAATGTAGACATATGGAACCCTATTTGTAAGCGTTACCATTTATTTTTTATTTCGTCACTATCCAGTTAATTACTGTACATTTGATTTGGTATAAAATTGACTTACTTGAGGGGGAAATGGGGTTTACTGTAAATCACAGAGGAATGAACTGTGAACTTGATGCTGTCTAGAAATTGAAGGGGATGGGGTTGTTCTTAGAACATCTCTCAGCTCCTCACCCACTTCCTGACAGGAAACCGGAGTGATTGAAGATCATCTTACCACACACACCAGCTGCCTTATCATCTCTCTCCTTAATGCAAGTTTTATTGAACCGTTTTTGCCACAGAATATTTCAGTGTGTACTCGGGGGCACGTTGAGTCAATCTCTGACAAGCCCCTGCAAAAACTCACATGTTATTTGATTTCAAAATGCATGTCTGTTTCCTAGCTTCAGTTTGACCAGACCCTCAGTCATGGCCTGATGGCCCTTAACACACTACCACAAATCACTTACAAACTCAAATTGCCTGATTTTAATATAAATTGTAATATTAATATTTATTCTACAAGCTACAATCAGAGCCAGAATCAGTGTCTTTGAATTTAAACTAATATCTATTTTATCTCTAGGTTGTTGATTAAAAGTTAACATCAATCACAGATTCAGACAGTGTTAACTGGTAGCTATCATACATAATACATACGTTGTTACTATACGTTTTTAAATGCATATATTATTAAATGCAATAATTAACATGTATGAAATACAACTGTTGTATTTGTAACTGTACATTACTGAATCTGTTTGCAGTAGTGGTCACACTTTCACCAGGCTAAGTGCACTCTATCTGTGTACTATTAGATAGTAACCAAATATAGGATTTTAACAATTAAATTATGAACCCAGTCAGCACAGTTAGAAGTATGCATATTGTGTCATCTGTTCTTCCTAGAAGTGCCTTATTTGCAATATGCAAAGATGATGTAAAGAAGAAGCATTTTCTAGCCTCAGGTTTGTTTGTTTCTGTTTTTGTTTAAATCATTTGCTTGATTACATAGATTAGTTTGCAGATGTAGATGCGTCAGACTGCAACACCGAACTAAGTTTGTGGAGGGTATGAAAGAACACCAATATATTTCATAATGTGCATAAGAGAAGAAAAGTTATTTATTACTGTGCAAATATAACTCTTACTCGAATATAATTTTCCTATTTTAGAAATAAGGAACTCCTCAAATCCAACCAATCCAAATAAGCAACAATCAATGTGAACATACATCTGCTCTGGTTCTTTCTGCACTGAATTCATTTGAACATCATTGTGTTTGTGTAATTTGGGAGGGGATAGTTATGTTATGTAATGTTATACAGATATCATAATCATATTCAAAGTAATAGCAATTAAATGCACTAAGAACCAGAGCTGTATGTTCCATTGCCATCAGACTTATATATTGAGTTATAAACATTATATTATATATATATTATATTGCATTTTATTATCTTCACCAGCTTTATTCTCTTAATAGTACAGGTAAATCCATCCATTTTTTGTTCATATATATAATCGTGAAAGTAAATTCAAGAACTTGAACTGTATCTTGTGTCATGCATGTGTCAACTCAAAAAATACATACTTAAAATTAATCTAACAACAGTTTATAGTGCCTGTGTTACAACTATTATGTTAATATAATTAATATTACCTAGTAATTATATTCAATTATAAAAAGTAATTACGTAAATATACGAACAGCTCCATAAAGTAATACGTCAAGTATATGTTCAGTAGTATAGTCCTCACTTACTTTATTCTTAAACTGGATACTTACATTGTCACAAGAGATCTAATGTAATGTAAGACCAATTATTTTCACAAATGTTCTGTTTCTAAAGGGTTTTCTTTGAGGTGGTCTTTCAGGTGCCAATTTCTCCTTATATTTGTGCTTAGTTATTCTGAAGTGATTCTATCACACAGAGGAGGATGGTTTTTGTTTCGAGTTGTGTCATTGTGGACTGGGGTACCACAGTGATTAAGTTCTGGTTTTGCCTCATACAAAAACCTCACAGAGTTTAATTGGCTGCAGTTTATAGTGCCTGTGTTACAACTATTATGTTAATATAATTAATATTACCTAGTAATTATATTCAATTATAAAAAGTAATTATGTAAATACGAACAGCTCCATAAAGTAATACGTCAAGTATATGTTCAGTAGTATAGTCCTCACTTACTTTATTCTTAAACTGGATACTTACATTGTCACAAGAGATCTAATGTAATGTAAGACCAATTATTTTCACAAATGTTCTGTTTCTAAAGGGTTTTCTTTGAGGTGGTCTTTCAGGTGCCAATTTCTCCATATATTTGTGCTTAGTTATTCTGAAGTGATTCTATCACACAGAGGAGGATGGTTTTTGTTTCGAGTTGTGTCATTGTGGACGGGGTTTCCACAGTGATTAAGTTCTGGTTTTGCCTCATACAAAAACCTCACAGAGTTTAATTGGCTGCCACTGCACTGAATAATTCTTCTGAGGCTGTTCTGTCATCTTAGACGTGAAGACTTCCACTGCAGCTTGGGGTTTCATCTCATGGATATGGATGTTTAACATTAACAGCAGTTTTATTCAAATATGTCTGTTGAGAAGATTGTTCAGATGATAGCATTTCTCTCTCTTCCGTATAAGACAGCCCCTCAACAGAGGGCATGGGTTTTTGTACTGACGTTTTTCATCGTGTTGGGACTACCACAGTGATACATTCTTCATTAGGCGCTGTACAAAATCTCATATCACTGTTATTTCTGTGTATAAACTGTATTGATAAATTTAAACCAATATCTGACTGAAAGACTGAACTATCACAGAACTATTCTCTCAGTCTTGTTGTTTTCATCTTGAAGGCTTTTGTCCCAGCCACCTGTTTGTATGTGAATGGTGCAGACATGGGTATATCATGAGGATGGGCTGACAGATGGAATTGCCTTTGAAAGAATATCAAACTGGATTTCTTCGACTGGATATTTCTCATCAAAAGTCTAGATGAGTCTATAGTGTATTTCTTAAGATGTTAGGATACTTTCAATTACCAAAGGATATTGTCAGAGGGCTGAATGAAGTGCAGACCCACTAACTTTTGGGAATCCCATCCGTCTCACGGTCAAACCAAGTAAGTAAATCCACTTTCAATGTTATTAGAATGCAGTTTTCCAAACCATACATCTGGTTTTGTGAAAACGTGAACTTTGGGCAGTTAGTTGTAGTTACAGTTAGGTCAGTTTGTCAGTCCTAATGCTGATGTAGGGTCAGGAGCGTTTTTGTAAGGGTTACGGTAGCGGTGCATTTTCAGCTACTGACACCTTAACATTCGGAAAGCCGATAACCCTCAAGGTCGTACCAAGTAAGTACTTTTTTTAACTGTTCCAAGCGTTTACACCAACATATGTGCTGTAGAAAATAGTGAAAAACCCCACAAAATAGCTTGAAACAGTTGGTTAGTTGGTTGTGCTGCTGTGTTGCGTTCTGCTTCTGATCACAGTATGTTTGTTGAGTTGGGATGTTGCTCAAAAGCAAACATTTCTAGCAGAGTAATTGCATTTGTTCTTAAGACTATGGATGTTTTGTGCATGAATAGATGATTGCAAGACTTTTTCACTTACATCATGAGCATAGTTTTGCAACTGCCACATGTGTAAAAAGTACGGTCTTGAAATTCCTGATGAAAACTGCTTATTTTTGTTTGTTCAGAAGATGTACCGACAACTCCTCCAATTCTGTCCATCTTGTCCCCTTTGAAGGGCGATGGACAGGATATTTGTCTGGCCGCCGGGTTCTTTCCTGAAGATAAGACTATGACTTTGACTGTGGGAGTTAATAAACCTGTGAGTCTTACCACCAGCGAAGCACCCTTGTTTAAATCGACCAAAACCTATTATTATGCTGGATTCAATGGTGAAAAAATGCAAAAATGCGAAATGGATGGACAAACAGCAAACAAAACTCTTGGCACTCCGTGTAAAAAGTACGGTCTTGAAATTCCTGATGAAAACTGCTTATTTTTGTTTGTTCAGAAGATGTACCGGCAACTCCTCCATTTCTGTCCATCTTGTCCCCTTTGAAGGGCGATGGACAGGATATTTGTCTGGCCGCCGGGTTCTTTCCTGAAGATAAGACTATGACTTTGACTGTGGGAGTTAATAAACCTGTGAGTCTTACCACCAGCGAAGCACCCTTGTTTAAATCGACCAAAACCTATTATTATGCTGGATTCAATGGTGAAAAAATGCAAAAATGCGAAATGGATGGACAAACAGCAAACAAAACTCTTGGCACTCCTGACACTCCTGACACGACAGGTTTGTACTTAAATGGATAATTATTGTTTCTTTTTAAAACATTTTTTTATGTGATTTCATTAAAAAAAAAAATTATTGTACATATAAAATATATTAATAAAGAATTATTTGTTTTGTTTTTCTTAATATTTATTCTGCAGAAAAACCCCAAAAACTGACTCCACAGTCTTGTCAAACAAGTCTTAGTACTGATGCCTCAGAGTTCATAAACACTGGTTAGTAATAAAATACATATTACAAAATACAAGATATTCTACATGTATAGCTTGCATTTGTGAATTGATCTACATTATGTGCCATGATTTACAAGATTTAAATTCATTTAATATCAAAGGATGATTAATTTATTGTTTACATTTTTTCAGGTGATCCAAAAATGAACTCCATGAATCTTCTTGTGACAGGTCTGAGAATTCTGCTTGCTAAATGTGTCACAGTTAATGCATTGATGACTGTGAAGGCATTCATATTTTAAAAGTTTAATTCAGCCACATCATCTGAATAATCAAAAATTGTAACTGTAACTTAATCAAATATCCATGGCAAACAAACAAATGCGATTATAGTCAGCCACAGGGTCACTATTTATATATTCTGTCTAATAATGTTACATAGAATGAAAAATACAAATTGTTAGTAATGCATTTCAAATATACAGAATATCGATCAAACTTTTATTGCAAACTTTTAGAAACATTTCTGAATTCAGTGGTATAATGTGCAGATTGCTTTGCTATGGTGTATGTCTTTTCAGCTTTATTTGCAGACAAGTGCAAGTTAATTTTTTAATACTTAAAAAAAAATTTTTTTTTTTTTACAATACAGTATTGCATTGTTTAAGACTTTTACATTGTCTAATTGTGTAACATAACTATTTGACTTAACTATTGAGGCTCTGATCTTTGCATGTAAAATGATTTTTCAAAAATATATTAAATAATAAAATGTCTTGCTAAAAGAGAAGTTTCATGTGAGTATGTCTAAACCACAGTTTCAACGGCATATTCGCACTGGAGGCAGAGTCTTACCACAGTTTCAGATAAAGATCTACTGCTCGCTTTGGGTTCCAAGAATTAGTATGTTTTGTTGCTGAGTTTTTCCTCTCTGTTTTAGGCTATAGAAAGAGAAACACAGCTGTAAAGTCGTACAGCTACAGTTTTGGGGGCATTTTTCGTTGTAATTAATTATTTAACTTTTGCATAAAATGATTTAAAAATAAATATTCTACAAAATAGTTTGTCAAACCACTGTTTTGATGATGGCATTTATGAAACATAAGTTACTAAGTCTATTGAGAGCACATTTTCTCACTCTCTTTCATCAAAATGGTGAGCTGAGCTTGCTACTCATCTAAGACTATGAGATGAAGTGTACTGCCCTCTTGTGGCCTTTAGTGGGATTTTGCCGTTTGTTTTGCCAGGCAGACTTGAGTGACCTCTAGTGGCCGAATGATCATACGCATCCAATGTGCTTCCGCATATTCCACGTTTTTTGCCTATGTGTGAACATGCAAGACTTGCAAAAGCTGTTGGCTCGAGTCGGCCTGGCTCATGTCCCGTTTTCAGTCTGGCTTTACCCCGCTGTTAGAAGACACTTTCGACCACAGAATAAATTGTATCTTAGCTCTCTGCAAATAGCACATTTCTATGGTGGCGTCGCTAACTATTCTAAAGGTTTGTTTTAGCTCCATCGAATACAAAGAGGCACTCAATATTAAGTGTTTTGTTCGAACACAAACGTTAATTTAGAGCTTAAAATACGATATTTATTTTTAATATGCGTTGACAACAAAAACATTTAGTTTTACTTTGCTTTGACAAAACAAAACCGAGTAAAGCATATGTAAATATTAGCCTATTATTTCAGACACTGCGTCTAGGTTCACAGAAATGAAGCAATAATGCCATGTGTTACGTTAAAACTAGGCCAGTAGAATACTGATGTCTATATGAAGAGGCGAGTTACCATATATTTCTCATTTGAATGATTATCTTCACCAAAAATAAAACGTTCTGCTGGGCAGGTGTCATTTTAATTCTCTGGTTTGGATTGATTATTCAACAAAGATTGAGATGTGCAGGTAAACCCACTGATACATTTAATACACTGTTTCTTACAGAGGAAGTGCAAACATATTCCAGGATCTGATATAAATTGGGAGTAGGGACACTAAGGTAAGGATTTAAACTGTTTCAGAATTGAATGTATATATTAAATTTGTTTCACCACAATTTCACGTTTAAATGTATTAGAGGGGTTTTGGCATCATGATCATTGATGCATGCTATTATTAGGGCCCGAGCACCGATGGTGTGAGGACCCTGTTGGAATTGCTCAGTTTCTTCTTCTTCTGCAAAATTAATCGCATTTTTGAGGGCCTAAACATGCTCAAAAACTCACGAAACTTTGCACACGCGTCAGAGGTGGCGAAAATTTACGTCTGATATGGGTTTCAGAATTAGGCCCTAGGTGTGGCAAAATAGCTGGATAGCGACACCTATAAAATTTCAACGGCCGTGCGCCTCGAGTTTCACGTACATGAACGAAACTCGGTAGACACATGCAACACACTAATACCTACAAAAAAGTCTCTTGGCACAAAATCCGAAAACCCAACAGGAAGTCCGTTATTTGAATTTCCTGTACTATTTTTGTGCAGTTTTTGCCATTTTCCGGCCTCGTACTTTAACAAACTCCTCCTACAGTTTTAATCGGACCATCTTCAAATTTGCTGAGTGTTATCATAAGGCCTTTGCGATGCTAAATTGTGAAGATCTTGAGTTTACGTCGAAGGGTGTGTCCCTGGCGGCCTGACAAAGTTCGGTGTTTCACCATGAAACAGGAAGTTGCTGTAACTCAGGCAAGCAATGTCCAATCTGCCCCAAACTTCACACGTTTGATAAGAGTTCTGTCCTGAACACATCTACATGCCTGTATTCAGTTATAGTCATAGCGCCACCTGCTGCCAATAGGAAGTGGCATGTTTAACACTGTTATGGACTCCTAGCAACATATTAAAAAGTGTCAGCAAGTCTTAAATAGGCTGCCAACATGTTAGAAATATGCTAAAACATGCTAGCAACACTTAAAGCATGCTATTAATGCAGTGAAACAGGAAGTTGATGTAACTCAGGCATGCAGTGTCCAATCTGCCCGAAACTTAACATGTTTGATGAGAGTCCTGGGCTCGTATTCACAAAACATTTTATCTTACCACTAAGAGTTCTCCTAAATCGCAGTAAAAGTTTTTAGCAAAGAGTTTTCTCTTAAAACCTATTCACAAAGCTGCTGAGACAAACTTTTACTAAGGAATAGAGAGAAGTCTTAAGCTAAGAGTAAGGGCGGGGTTGACCACGTTGCTATGGATGATGTCAGCATGCTTACTATCTATGCACACAGTGATTGGCTGATTGTCTCTGTCAGATTTATTCATGGAAATATTGTAGAACACAATATTATGTTGCCGTATTCAAATAAAGGTTTTAAAATTAAAAAATGTTAATTGCCACATTCAAATAAAGATTTAAAAATGCAGGATAAGTGTCACTAATTAAACAAGTATATGTTCAGCTTATTGTCAGCCTCTTACATTTATGCTTCTCAAAAACAATTAGCGGATAAGCATATAAACAGCCTTTTAATTAACAGAGTAGAATAATCATGGCTGATAGTAATACATGCAAACATAAAAAAAAAAAAAACCTGGAACAAGAACAGCTGTTACTTCTTGCCCAACTGGTTAATGAAAACAAGGATATAATCAAAGGAAAATTAGGAGTTGGGGTAACCTCCAAAACGAAAGGTGATACCTTTTTAAAAGGTCATTATCATCAAATGTTTAAAAAATGTTTACGTTCAGAGGCAGTTTGCCGGCAACCGCCATTTTAGGAATATTTTGTGGCTTGGTCTTAGTGACTTAGGAGTCCCCTTCACTACTCCTAACGTTTCATAGATTTATGTAAAATACTCTTTTCCGATAAATTTCGGATTGACACGGCCATTATTTTTAAGATTTTCTCCTAAATCGGCGAGTTATGAGCTACTTTTAGCCTTAAGATGTTTTGTGAATACGGGCCCTGGCCTGAACACATTGACATGCCAAGATTCAGTTATAGTCATAGCGCCACCTACTGTCAGTAGGAAGTGACATGTTTAACATCGTGATGCACTATTAGCAATACAGTATAATATGCCATTGTGTGCTAAACATGTTAGAAACATGCTCAAACATGCTAGCAACACTTGCTAAGTGCTAAAGCATGCTATTAACTCCATCAAACACAAGTTGTTGTAACTCATGCATACAATGTCCAATCTGCCTCAAACTTCACATGTTTGATAAGAATCCTGGCCTGAAGATATCTACATGCTCATATTCTGTTAGTGACATGTTTAACACTGATGCACTATTAGCAATACAGTAAAATATGCCGTTGTGTGCTAAATATACTAGAAATATGCTCAAACATGATAGCAACACTTACTAAGTGCTAAAGCATGCTATTAATGCCATGAAACAGGAAGTTGTTGTAACTCATGCATTCAGTGCCCAATCTGCCCCAAACTGCACACGTTTTATAAGAGTCCTGGCCTGAACACATCTAAAGGCCAATATTCAGTTATAATTATAGCGCAACTTGCTGGCAAGAGGAAATTACTTGTTTCACACTAACTTAAACATGCAATGTCTGATCTGCCCTAAACTTCACATGTTTGATAAGAGTCCTGGCCTGAAAACATTTACATGCCAATATTCAGTTATAATTTGCAGCGCCACCTGTTGGCAACAGCACATTTAATGTTTTACACTTACTCAAACATACCATGTCCAATCTGCACCAAATTTCACAGATTTGATAAAAGTCCTGGTCTGAAGACATCTACATGCCAACATTCAGTTACAGTCATAGCGCCACCAACTGGAAGTAGGAAGTTTGGCACACATAAATGACTTTGACATATTCCTCCTATATTTATCACTTTAAATGCATATTGCCCACCGTTAGCTGTTTTCCTAAAGCCACCGGTTGGCGGTGAGCCCGGGTGCGAGGGCACTTTAATCGCTGCTTGCAGCTTTAATTAAAGCTGTCATTGATTTTCTATGGCTACTTAAGACTCTTGACTTCATTATTATGTGTTTCAAGTCAAATTAGAGATACATTGTAAAAATCCTTCTGTTCTGAAATGTTCAAACTTTTTTGTCTTCTTTTTTTTTTGCATTTGATAATTCGAAAATTTAGGGGAAAATATAAAAAAATTACAAAAATAGAAGTATAGTGAGCATTTTAAGATATTATCATTGATCTTGAATATTTGGTAAATTAAGATTTGTAGATATACCATTTTAAACTATCTGTATCTGTATCTTGTGTGAAGAGGTTTTATGTCTGAGAATGCAACACTGTGGACGTCTGGTTCTGGCTCCAAGTTCTTAATGGGATCTGGAACAAAGTTAATTGTGCAGACCAGTGAGTATTATTTTAAATAGCTTTTATTGTTGCTTTATAGCATGAAATAATGGCTTGAAACTACATTTTAAATTTTTTATTTTTTTAAGGGTAGTGAAATGAGTGATGATTGTCACGCCACTGGACTGTCTGTGTGTGTTTTCCTCCCCATGTGCTCCCCGTGACCCAGTTTATCCCTTGTGTGATTGCTTCATTTGATTTACCTGTGTTCGTTAATTATCCCTCATTAAGTTTAGTATTTATAGTGTAGTCTGCCCCATGTTTCCTTGTCGGGTCTTGAACGTTGTGATGTACTACGTG